ACAAATGTCCACCTGTGTTAAGCAGCCAGCAGCCACTCAAACCTCCCCCTCAATGCTATTTACACTGTAATAGGAGGCCATTTCATCCATTGCCGGGATTCTATCACATTTTTTAAATACATTTGCTTAGATGAAAGATATGGAGATAACGAACAGTATTCAAGCTCAGAAGTCCATTAAACAATACAAATTTTGGAGCAGAGCAAACATGGACCTCTAAAAAATTCAGAGGTGGGATCAGGTGCCAGGGAGAAATGAGCATCCGCTGCCAACCAGTCACACCCACCCTGTGCTCCGTGTCACCATCGGGAAATAACGGGAAAATCATTATACACTCGTATAATTATATACATGTACTGGTCTACCTTCACCTATTAAAACAATTGAGCAAATTAGATTCGCCAAACTTGGTTTTCATTGTATTTCATTCAGTATTGATTGTGTTAATGAAGGAATAAAATGTTCTGTTTGATCATTGGACACTCTTCAAAATTTTTATGTATTCTAATTATTTTTCAAGACCGCTAATCGAAAAAAAAATGAAAAAATATTAGGGATTTTCAATCATAATTACTTAGAATGTTCAAAGTGACATTTGGCATACCCCTGACTACCAGTATTTTTACACATATTAAATTTTGATTCTGTGTAGAAACTCTTCATTGCTGATCTTTTACATACAACATGCACAATATGGCTTGATTATCTCGTGAATTTCAACCTTAGGAGACAATCGATAGGGATTAGTAACGCTCCATTGCACATAATACCTGTGAAATGATATCAAATTACGTAATACACATCTTTGGTCAACTTTATTTATGTGTCTGTTTTAAATTCTGAGAGCTTCATTGAAATTAAATAAAAAAAATTAAGCTTACTTTAATAACTTCACAAAGTAAATAAACTGCTGATTAAACAGGACTGTTGAGTTGGGGGGGGGGGGGGATATTAACCACACACTTTGTGCTGATCATTGTTTGAACATGATGAAAGAAAATTTTAAGGGGGGTCTAAGAAAGGAAACAACTTATAAATTTACCTAACTGAGCCACATAAAATATATATTTTCAAATGACAAAAGAGTTGTTCAATTTCAGTATAACACCATGTGAATGTATGTGACTTTGTCTGACATGTGATTGCCGCCATGACAAAAGGTCCTTTTGGCAATTTTCCTACAACAGAGAAATAAAGATGTGACATTGCAGATGGTGAACGTTGTCGTAGATTTTTTTTATCCACTTACACATTTTTACACGTCTAGCTTTTGTTGTAGTTCTTGAACATTGAAATACATTTATATATTTAAGTTGCCTCTGGAGTTCTATGTCCATTTGTTTTAATTAAAAGGTTAGAATTTTATTCGAAATCGCTTTTTTTATGCCCCCGTATCGAAGATTCGGGGGTATATAGTTTTTCATAGTTTTGCCCTGTCCATCTGTCTGTCTGTTTGTCCACAAAAACTTTAACATTGCTCGTAACTTTTGATTGGTTGGAGCTATGGCTTTCTTATTTCACCTGTGTATTCCTTGTGACAAGACCTTTCTTTGAGTACCATCATATTTGACCTTGACCTGGGAGTTTGGTCCAGTTTTACAAAATTTTACCCAACTTTAACCTTAGCCATAACTTTTGAACGGTTGGTGCTAGGGCTTTCATATTTCACATACGGTATGTAATCCTTGTGACAAAACCTTCCTTTGGATACCAACAATTTTGACCCTTTGATCTTGACCTTGGAGTTTGACCTACTTTGAAAAACTTTAACATTGGCCATAACATTTGAACGGTTGGTGCTAGGGCTTACTTACTTCACAAGTGTAATACTTGTGACAAAACCTTCCTTTGAATACCAACAATTTTGACCCTTTGATCTTGACCTTGGAGTTTGACCTACTTTGAAAAACTTTAACATTGGCCATAACATTTGAACGGTTGGTGCTAGGGCTTACTTACTTCACAAGTGTAATACTTGTGACAAAACCTTCCTTTGAATACCAACAATTTTGACCCTTTGATCTTGACCTTGGAGTTTGACCTACTTTGAAAAACTTTAACATTGGCCATAACATTTGAACGGTTGGTGCTAGGGCTTACTTACTTCACAAGTGTAATACTTGTGACAAAACCTTCCTTTGAATACCAACAACTTTGACCCTTTGACCTTGACCTATGAGTTTGACCTACTTTTGTAAAACATTAACTTTGGCCATATCTTTTGGACAGTTGTTGCTAGGGCTTTCATTCTTCACATGTGTAATCTTTGTGACAAGATCTTCCTTTGGATACCAACAACTTTGATCCTTTGACCTTGTAGTTTGACCTACTTTTGGAAAACTTTTATCTTGGCCATTTCTTTTGAACGGTTGGTGCTAGGGCTTTCATACTACACATATGCAGTCCTTCTGACAAGACCTTATTTGGGTACCAACAACTTTGACCCTTTGACCGTGACCTTGGAGTTGGACCTACTTTTGAAAAAAATTAACTTTGGCCATATCTTTTGAATGGTTGGTTCTAGGGCTTTCATATTTCGCATAGGTATTTCTTGTGAGAAAGCTTTGCCTTGGGCACCATTAATTTTGACAATTTGACCTTGATGTGTGACTTACTTTTGAAAAACTTTAATCTTTTCCATATCTTTTCAATGGTTGCTGCTAGGGCTTTCATGTTTCACAGGTATATTCCTCAGTGAAAGACCTTACTTTGGGTACCAGCATATTTGAGTTGCCTTTGAGAAAGTTTAAACTTTCACTTTAAGTTGCCATACGGGGGCATCAGTATTTCACAAACACATCTTGTTTTTTTTTTTAGCTATCTGATTTAGGCTGCGTACATATCTATATATTGAATTTAAGTAGATCTGTTATAAATTTAATTTCCTACAGTTCTGCTAAATTCAGAAACGTTGATTTTCTGACTATGGACGAACAAATGTTATTTTGATATACAGACCAGTTTAAAGTTACATATTAGACTCGAATATATTATTAAAATATTATAGAGGATATTGTTTTTCTCTATGAGATCTGCTCTACCCCTATTTTTAAGTGGCAGGGAATGAAAATCACTTTGCTGTTTACTGTATATGCTTTGTACATTTTTGTGTTTTAAATCGTGCCATAATTATTAAGATGTTTTGCATTTTTATCTAGAATCCTTATGATGATTTAAAGAATTTTATTCTGTTGAGGTTGCACTACAGTATTAAATTTTGCTATATATTCTTACCAAACGTGTACAGCTTTGAGTAGGTGGTCTTAATTTTAAAATTTTGAGAGGTTTCCTTTTAAGCTCACTTTAGCTCACCAAACTTGCTTCGATGATGCAGCTAGGGATGGACACTACCACACTTGCTTCAGATGCTAGATCTGACCTACATTTTCCAGATGAGTGACCAAGTTTTTCGAGCAGGTCCATTCCCAGGTACATGTAACTGTAAGCCCTACCGGTACCAAACTTGCATGGATGATGCATCCAGGGATGGACTTTACCACACTTGCTTTGGATGCTGGAACTGAGCTAGATTTTCCACATGAGTGAATTTTAGCCATATTTTAACCAAATTAGCATGGATGATGTATCTAAGGATGGACACTTCCACATCTGGTTTGGATTCTGAATCTGACCTACATTTTCCAGATGAGTGACCAGGGTAATGTTTTGGAGTAGCTATATGATATTATGGCCTGTTATAATTAAACTTGCATAGATGGTGCATCTAAGGATGAAAACTTCCAGACTTGCTTTGGATGTTGGAATTGACCAAAATTTCTTGATTAGTAAACAGGTTAAAAGTTTTTTGAGCAGGTCTATTTCCAAGTACATGTAACTTTAAGTCCTACTTAAACCAAACTTTCATGGACATTGATCTTGGGATGTACACTAACTAGAAAAAAAAATATGATGTGAAATATGCCTTACTTATAGATTACGTTCGATGAGATGAGCTTCGTAATCTTTGATTGCCAATGTTTAGATCTTGTAAAACAATTCTTTATGAAGATTTTAGTACCAAAAAACACATAGCCATCCAGCAAGGCAAGCAAGTTTGTTTCGGTTGAAGTCAAGCAGGTGCTTGAAAATCAAATGCAGGACCTAATCACTCCCCCCTAAAAAAAAGTATGTAAAAAAAAAAAATCAACATGCCATAAATTTCAATGAATCTGGTAAATACAGGAAGTTTACATATAATTTTTCATCTAATAAAGAAAATTCAGCTCCAGTCTCATGCAAAAATGCCCAAATTGGGGAGATTAAGGGATCAATTTGCATCAGCCATGTTTTGACATTAACCTCAACTGAAATACTGTTTTGACACCTATTGTCTATTTCCCCAGAAAAACTTATATTCATCTTTTTGATGTCAGAAATTGTTCCAGTGCTACAATTCTTATTATTACTTGAATTGTTTTCAAGTAATCATTTTCAAACTTAGTAATTTATCAACCAACAACACACTTAAATAAAGGTTTTGATAAAGTGACTTTATTAACCCAGAAAATTTTATAAATACATTAACTTCTGTAAAAGATATGAGCTCAGTTTTAGAACAACCTTAATGTATCCAGCACATTCAGATATGCACTAAATCAAACTTATGCTAACTTGTTGAAAAGTCAATTTCTGCCAAATATTGTACACACTAAATAAAATATATTTACAGTTATTCCAATCATTGTTCATTTTGATTCCTAAAAGAACAATATACATCAGGAGGTTCCTTATAGTTTTGGCACTTAATGACCATTTTCCATTTGCCTTTGAGTTCCCTTTTACAAACGCAACATCCACACCTCTCAGGTTATTATCAGTAATTTGATTCTGCCTTGTCTAATGTGCCAACTTTCTTTGTCCATTACTATGGTAGAATAAAGTAAGGTGAGTGTTGGGGCCCATGGGCCTCTTATTTTAAAGAGGTTTGGGGAAAATCAAATTCCTTGTACTTGTTATTATTACAACAGCAAAAACTTCAACATTATTTTTTTTTTTTGAAGGCAAAGCAGAATTGAAGGCCTACCTAGACAAACACTCCAACATTCAATGTACCTTATTGCAACTCCGTACAAAGATCATGAACGAGCAAAATAAACGGAGACGAATATTATCTGTATGATAATGTCAGGAGATGTGAAAACTTGAAAAGAGTGACTGTACTCTAAACTTCATAAAAACTAACTTTAAATGTGTAAAGTTGAAAAGGATGCTTTGTTTGAAGCAGGCTCTGAAATCAAGGTTGTTTTCAAGATTGTTTGCTGAATTTAAATCACTATTTTGATTGAAATCTGTTCTGAGATTTTAGAATTCAAGTTGTAATGCTAATACATGTGTAGTCACATGACTCATGAATAGCACAAAAATTTACCACCAATTGATAAAAAAGTATAACATTTCCCGGGGTTTGAAATTATAGAAATGTCATTTGGAAAAGTCAAGTTTTGAAGGAAAAAAAATTATGCAAGAATATTATCATCTTTAGTTCAAGATATTAACGTAAGTATTAGAGTATGAATGAAGAAAATAAATCATGTTTTAAAATTGATTACATTTTCTTTTTTAGTTCACCAGAGTCACTTGTGACATAATGCTGTCTGTTTTTGTCCTTCATCGTGTGATGTGTCAGTTGTTATTAGGGCTCCGTAGGGATTTACTGGAGCTCTATAATAATCACTGTCTTTTGTTGTCATTCTTCTATCCACAAATTTTCTGTTTTTTTCATATGCCCGTGTTAAGACTGGACATATTATGGTATGACATTCATGTCCCTGCCATTTGTCTGTTAGTTTTTTTTGTGTATGGCTCATACTTAAAACTATGAGGCCTAGAATAATTAAACTTTGTCAGGTGATGCATCTTGGATAAAAGGTGTGTAACACATTTAAAGTAGGTTACTGTGACCTTTAATAAAGACGAAATGGCAAAATATGAAAAAAAAAGAACCCTATTTATTTTCAAGTTAGTAGGTGAAATATTTCTTAAAATATCGAGTTTTTACTACCTTCAAACCCTGAAATTTTATGTACGAGTTGAAAATACTCAACTTTATTGAAACCGGTGTCATATAATATATTGAACCCCGCGATATTTTGAACCCGGGTTCAAAATATCGCTGTGAAATACTGAACCCCCCTATAAAATATTGATCCTGGGGTTCAAAATATTATGGCCATAATATTTTGACAGAGAATGTCTGTAATGGGAATATTATCATTTATGGGATTCAAAATATTATGGCCATAAGGCTAAAATATAATGAACCCGGGGTTCAATATATTATAGCCTTATGGCCATAATATTTTGAACCCGGGATTCAATATATTATAGCCTTGTGGCCATAATATTTTGAACCCTGGGTTCATTATATTTTAGCCTTATGGCCATAATATTTTGAATCCCATAATATTCCCATTACAGACATTCTCTGTTTAAAGCATAGAGGTTCCTAAGATTATGGCCTTGAAATGTTGTACGTCCTAATTTAAATTTTTTTTTTGGTAGGGTGGGGTGGAGGTTTAAGATAGGATTTATGGCTGTAAAATGTTGTACCCCCTATTAGACATATATGTGTTTAGGAGGTTGTTTAAAAATTATTGACCTAAAAATAATTTTTGAATGGTAAGAGGGGGTTAAAGATATGGCAGTGAAATGTTCAACCCCACAACATTTTATAAAGGATAGAAAATATTATGGCTGAGAAGTATTGAACCTCCATTTAAAGGCTACTATGGAAAAGGAAGTGAAAGTATCTAACACCCGTCTCACACACACTCACTTTGATTTAATTGTTAGATCTCAAGGGTTAATGGGTATCTTTATATTAAAATTGTATTTTTTTTTTATATCTGTGCAATACCTAAAGAAGTGAGAGTAAAATAATATAATCAAAATATTGAAGTCTGAAATTGCCACCAGGAAATTAAAAATAATTGTCTTTTACCATCAAACCCCAAATTTTCTACATCAAATAACTAAAATAACTTGATATGTCTGATGGAAAAACAATTATGAAATATTTATTTCTCTGTCTTTCATCCCATAACGTATTTAATTTTTTTATTTATTTATTTATTTTTTTTTTTTGTATAATTTACAATTTGAAAAAAGAAAATTCAAGGAGCAATGTAGTATCTCTCCATTGAGGAGGTAACAGGGATGTAGTACCTGTGTATTGTGTGTACACAGGGAGGTGTCATTGGAGGTCAACAATACCAACTGTCTATTGTTTCCCCTTGATGGTTTCTATATTATTCAATACAGTGTTTAGAGAGTGTAAAAAATTGGGTAGCCCAGTCTGAGGGGTGTTTAGCTTACATGGAATATTTGGTGTTATTTATACAAATAGTAAAAGCAATTGAAATTTCAACATTTATTAACACAAATCAAAACATGAAACTACAATGTTCACAATCACTCAATAAGCTAAAAAATTTATACAAAAATAATAATAAAAATCATACATCCATCTTGTTTTATACATGTACCACATAAATTTGGCCTTCTCGGGGGCTACTCACATATAAAGTCAAAACAAATTCCTGGGTTGACACCATCAGGAAATTGTTCCACTGTAACCATAGAAACCTGGGTTGACACCATCAGGTTGTGAGTAAGGGTACCCGGGTTGACACCATCGGGTTTTAATGAATGGAACCTGGGTTGACACCATCAGGTTTAAATTTTTTGAGATACCTGGGTTGACACCATCAGATTTACATGAAATGACCCGGGTTGACACCAGCGGGTAGCTATATGTATTTAATTAATTAAATAATGCAGAAAAATTTATCTGAATTGGGGGTAAACAGGCGACAATACAAACTATTGTGAGAGCCCCAACGATGGCATTTGTAATAAACTTTTTCTTTAGCATTATGAAAAGGTGAAGTATGGGGAAGGTGGGTGGGATAACGAAACAAAAACACAGAGCATGTACATCCAGCTTAAGATAAAACAAAGGAATGGTGATGGTAAGTGAAATTTGATGCGGATTGGTTTTTCGAGATTACGTGACTACTGATCACCAGAGATGTTGCTGCCCATTACACAATGCATTACCTAATATGGTCAAGGAATACTGGTTCCTACAACAGATAATCTTTTCTAAGAATAGCCTCCTTATCAAAGTGTCAAACAATGATTGTTTTACGAGTTCAATTAGATGTACACAACTTTACATAGACTAGAATGTAATCCCTACTACATGGCTTTATACAATGAATGTTGAACCAATGCTTCGTTAATAGTACCAACAATATATATATAGAGAGAGATAATATTATGTACACATGAAAACTAATTAGTTATGTATAAACAAAATTTTTTCTTACAAAAAAATATCATTATGAAGGGAGAGAGCAACATTAAACAGAAATGAGTACCTAAGGAAGTCTAATTGGGGAAGAATATTTACCAGCCATATTAATCTGAATCCCTCTTTTTGACCACTGAAGTAAAAAAAGGGGAGGAGGTGTCAGAATTCTGCAAGGATAAAATCTTGAACCCCCACCCACCTATTGAAAAATTAAAATGTAAGAGGGAAGGTCAATATTTTAAAGCCATTGTATCTTGAAAACAGTTTCCATGAACCTTTAAGTGGGGTCAATATTTTACAGCCATGATATTTAAAACCCAACTCCTCAAAAGTGTAACAGAAATTCAATATTTTTGCAATCATAATGACTTGAAATTATTACACTCCCCATGAAAAAAAACACACACACAAACATACAATAGGGTCATCAATATTTTATGATATCTTTACTGTTCAATCGATATACCCCAACCCCACAATTAACCTTTAGGGTGAGGTTGTTTTTAACAGCCATATTATTTTATTCCCAGATTTTGAGAACTCTTACGGGGTTGAATATTTCACAAACACTATTCTGCTGAACCCCAAATGACAAAAATTCAGAGGGCCATCAATATTTTATGGTCATGATATCTTGAACCCCCTCTCTTTCTAAACAAGCATAATACCATAATACTTTAAAACTCCCTCTTCCTAACCACTAAATTGTAATGGGGGACAGTACTTTGCAACTATAATATTTGAATCCCCCTCTTAAATCAAAATTTTTGGGGAATCAATGTTTTATGGTCATAATATATTGAACCCCCTCTTTCAACTGAAGAAGACTACCGTATATACTCACCTATAAGTCTGTCCACCTATAATCCCTTTGCATTTTTTAAGCTTATATTAGAGGGATTGACCCTCTAAAATACCAATCCCAAAAAACTGACTTATAGGCAAGAATATACGGTACATGGGGACACCACTTGTTCTCCCCAAATAGAATAAAAATTGTGGGGGTTAATATTTTGCCACATTAATATCTTGACCCCCTCCCCCTTTAAATTTAAAAAGGTAGGGGAATCAATTTTTTATGGTCATAATATCTTGGACCCCCTCCCTCATTAATTAAAAGTGTAGGGGGACTCAATATTTTATGGTCATAATATCTTGGACCCCCTCCCTCATTAATTAAAAGGATAGGGGGACTCAATATTTTATGGTCATAATATCTTGAACCCCCTCCCTCATTAATTAAAAGGATAGGGGGACTCAGTATTTTATGATCATAATATCTTGAACCCCCTCCCTTTTAAATTTAAGGGTAGGGAGACTCAATATTTTATGGTCATAATATCTTGAACCCCCTCCCTCTTAAATTAAAGGGTCATTAATTAAAAGTGTAGGGGGACTCAATATTTTATGGTCATAATATCTTGAACCCCCCTCCCTCTTAGATTAAAAGTGTAGGGGGACTCAATATTTTATGGTCATAATATCTTGAACCCCCCTCTCTCTTTGATTAAAAGTGTAGGGGGACTCAATATTTTATGGTCATAATATCTTGAACCCCCTCCCTCTTAAATTTAAGGGTAGGGGGACTAAATATTTTATGGTCATAATATCTTGAACCCCTCTCCCTCTTAGATTAAAAGTGTAGGGGGACTCAATATTTTATGGTCATAATATCTTGAACCCCCTCCCTCTTAAATTTAAGGGTAGGGGGACTCAATATTTTATGGTCATAATATCTTGAACCCCCTCCCTCTTAAATTAAAAGGGTAGGGGACTCAATATTTTATGGTCATAATATCCTGAACCCCCTCCCTCTTAAATTTAAGGGTAGGGGGACTCAATATTTTATGGTCATAATATCTTGAACCCCCTCCTTCTTAAATTAAAAGGGTAAGGGGACTCAATATTTTATGGTCATAATATCTTGAACCCCTCTTCCTCTTAAATTAAAAGAGTAGGGGTACTCAATATTTTATGATCATAATATCTTGAACCCCCCTCCCTTTTAAATTTAAAGGATAGGGCGACTCAATATTTTATGGTCATAATATCTTGAACCCCTCTTCCTCTTAAATTAAAAGAGTAGGGGGACTCAATATTTTATGATCATAATATCTTGAACCCCCCTCCCTTTTAAATTTAAAGGATAGGGCGACTCAATATTTTATGGTCATAATATCTTGAACCCCCTCCCTCTTAAATTAAAAGGGTAGGGGGACTCAATATTTTAT